CCAGTATATTCTGGTGTTCATTGACTATGCCAGTCGTTACCCAGACGCTGTTCTGCTTCGGTCTGTGACGGCTCCCCATATTGCAGAGGAGTTGGTAAAATGGATATCCCGAATGGGAGTGCCACGGGAAATATTGACGGATCAGGGACAGAACTTTATGTCTGGGGTCCTAAAAGGCGTTTGTCAGACGCTGAGGATCAGGCAGCTGAAGACCTCAGTTTACCACCTGCAAACTAACGGACTGGTGGAACATTTGAATGGGACCTTGAAGAGGCTGTTGAGACGATGCATGCAAGGTGACCCTAGGCACTGGGACCTTTTGCTTCCATTGGTCCTGTTTGTACTCAGGGATGCTCCGTCGGAATCCCTGGGGTATTCCCCGTTTGAGTTGGTACTGGGACATCAACCACGAGGTTTGTTGCAAATCCTCAGAGAAGATTGGGAACAGAGCTGGGGGGATGTCTCCAGCCCATCTAAATACCAACAGGCGTTTCAGAGCCGGGTCCAACGTGCCCGGGAAATAGCGGCGGGTAACTTAAAACAGGCCCAACAAACTCAGAAAGATAGATACGATCTGCAAGCAAAGGAAAGGGGGTTTCAACCAGGACAGAAGGTGCTGGTTCTGTTGCCCTCATCATCAAGCAAAATGCTGACGCAATGGCAAGGGCCTTTTGAAATAGTAAGACAGGTGGGTCTGGTTGATTACGAGGTGTACCGCCCGGGGCACATGAAGACAAAGCAGATTTATCATATCAACCTCCTGCGCGAATGGCGGCAACCTGAAGGGTGGGCAGCCTTTATAGACGAGACGGTCTCAAATCCCGAACAACAGACCGCTACTCGGGGCCTAAGGGGGATGGAGCCCTGGCGGGCAGTTAAGGTAAGCAATGAGCTGACCCTGCGTCAGAAGCGGGATATGACAGAACTCCTTAAGGAGTTTCAGAAAGTCTTTTCTGAGGACCCCGGATGGGTCAAGAATACCTTCCATGCAATTCAAACACCACCGAGAGTAGTGGTAAGAGACCGCTGGCATCCTATACCACATCACCTGAGTGCGGAGGTACGCAAAGAAGTAGAAAAGATGCAGAACCTAGGTGTCATTACACCATCATGGAGTCCTTGGCGAAGTTCTCTGGTGTTGATCCGGAAGCCCGATGGGACGCTAAGACTCTGTGTGGATTATCGGAAAGTAAACAAAGTGGCCACGTTTGATGCATTTCCAATGCCTAGCGTGGTGGAACTCGTAGAGCAGATAGGAGCGGCTCGCTATATATCAACACTAGATCTGGCCAAAGGATATTGGCAAATCCCAGTGAGACCCGAAGATCGCCATAAGACAGCCTTTGGAACGCCATGGGGGCTGTATGAATTCGTTAAAATGCCATTCGGATTACATGGGGCTGCGGCAACATTTCAACGGTTGATGGATCGACTTCTGGCGCCCCACACTGAATATGCCATGGCATACATAGATGATATAGTGGTGTTCACCTCGTCATGGGATCACCACCTCCAAGCGCTCCGAGCTGTGTTGGCTGAGTTACAGAAGGCTGGTTTAACCGCGACACCAAGGAAATGTGCAGTGGCACACAAATACACCAAATATTTGGGGTTTCTAGTAGGCCAAGGGACCATCAGGCCTTTAGAAGATAAGGTTCAGGCTATTCGTTTATTCCAAGCCCCACAAACAACCAAGCAGTTACGATCCTTTTTAGGCTTGGTAAATTATTATCGCCGATTTGTACCCCGGTTTTCTGAGTTGGCGGCACCTCTCTCGGAGGCCTTAAAAGGGGCACAACAAAAAGTGGTAAAGTGGAACAAAATGATGTTGAACAGCTTCCATGCTTTAAAGGGGGCTCTGTGTGACAAGGTGATAATACACGCCCCTGACTTCAAAAAACCTTTTTCATTGCAGACCAACACATCATCGGTGGCACTCGGGGCCGTGCTGACGCAGCAGGATGCAGGAGTTGACCGACCCCTGGCTTACGCTAGCCGAAAACTGTTACCGGCCAAAACAAGGTATGCAACCATCGAACGGGAATGCCTAGCCATTTGATGGGTGGTGGAACACTTTCGTTATTACCTATTAGGGCGGGAATTTACACTCATAACAGACCATGCGCCCTTGAAGTGGCTTAGTACAGCCAAAACTGATAATGCTTGCCTAATGAGATGGGCATTGGCACTACAGCCCTTCAAATTTCATATTGCATATCGGTCAGGAAAGGATAACGTAACTGCGGATTTCCTCTCTAGATGCAATGAGGCCTCAGATGTTGATGTGCCTGGCCGGAGTGGACAAAGTCATCAACTGGGCACAGATACCGGTGAAGCATGAACTCGGAAACCGCCACAAGG